GCCAACCTGGAGCTCTCTTGGGCCTAGTAACCTGCTTTTTGGGAGGCCAGTAAATCATCTCCCTGAGCCCAGAAAGCCATGCGAATTTAATACTAGATCTGACCCTATTTGTTGTTCCATGAAATGTCTTCAAATGACGCTCTTACACGTAGACCTTCACATTTTGTTTTTATGTGTGAGCAGGATGTATTCTTTGAATAAACGGTTTATTGATATTAGTTGTATTATGCATATATTGTTGCAAATAGCAAGGTTTGCTCTCTGCTCTAAACTTTCTCACAAAAGTCAATTTTGGGAAGCAGAGTAGCTTCGGAGGAATGAAGTATTGGTGTTCAGGTTGGGTTCAGGGACTGTCATGTAAATCAATTAGTTGCATTTGATTTTACTGATTTTTAGTCCACTGGGAAGTTGATTTGTAAGGCCCCAAAGTTCCACTACTTCGTGTTAGAGAGGCAACAATAATGAAATAAGGCAATGGCAGCATATTCACTGTGATGTTCTTCAAGAAATTTGCCAAACCTTGTAACTGTATCTGTATTATTTACACGCTGGCCAAGCTGTTTAGATATATAGTATACATTAGAAATAAGGTATAAATCCGGGGGTAGGAGGGTGGGGGGAGGCTGGAATACATTATTAGCATTATTTCCTGATACCCTTTATCCCCAGATGGCAAGTGTGTTGGGGAAAATGAAGACCTGCAAGCCTTTCCAGCAAAGATAAGTCTCTATAATAATCTAGATCATATGTTTCAGTGGAATAGAGGCCAACATGGGATTTGTTCATTTATCCACTTGGAATCGAGGAGGTTATAGCATTCCCTACCAAAACTTTTCTGTGTGGCCAGAGGGTGAGGGTGGTTGGTGGAAGAGATCAAGGACAGGAATAAGTGGACCATGAGAGGCAAGGAGCCTGCTGATATGAATTCTTCCTTGTGAATTCCCACCTGGCCAACTCTGCATCTCACCAAAAGGCAGCTTGGGGGTTTATTACTTTTTTCCTTTTTTTTTTTTCACAGCAGGGGACAGCCTCCTGCAGGCAATGTAGATTGGATGGGGCTGGAAAGGGACCAGACTTTTCATATGAGTTAAAGAAAATATCCACAGAACAATGAATGGAGCAAAGAAGGATATCAGTTTGTTTCTCTGCAGGGAATTGCAAAAGCTAATTGCTGTGGTACAGTTTTAGAGTAAAGCACTGCTATATAAATTGAAATAAAAAGGGATCAAATTCACTTTTGTCTGAATGACTTGAGATACAGATGTTTATTTTTAATTTTCCTTTTGCTCATGGCTCTCCTCAGATACATGGGGGGCAAAGCCAGACAAAAAAAGATATAAAGCAGTAAGATTGTTTGAAAGGATAGCAGAGAAATTGCACTGTGGGGGAACATGAGGATGTCTCCTTTCCATCAAACACATGAATTAAGAGGTCATGCATTGTTCAAGATACTGTGACGTATCACAGGCTTTCTAAATTGTACAAATGTGTTACTGCTCTGTAGAAGAACAAGGAAAAATGATGGCAACTGGATTTGTTAAAACCTAGTTTCAGCTCTTTAGAGAACAAGAGCTTGGTACCATAATTAATGGAGTACATACTTGTGACCCAAGGTTTGGAAATGTTGATTCCTAATGTTCAGCTTCTCTGCTCATGAGATAAATAAGCAGGGCAGCAATGATGCCTCGGATAACCCTCTTAATCCCATGTGGAGGTCAACCCAGATAACTAGTTTCAGTCCTGCCATGAGATATTCCCCGTCTCTGATTGACTGCTGGCCCCTTTGTCTCCGGGGGAAGATCAAGGCTGCTGCAGCAATCGGACCTCATTCCCATTTGGGATGGGTGGGGGAGACAGGGTGCAAGCAGAAAGATCCAAACACCTCAGGACAGCCCTGCTTCTTCCTCCCCAGCTCCCTCCTGCAAACAAGTTGGTTCCTCAGCTCCCTGTACCTCCCTCCGTTCAGTGTCTGGCTGGGGAAGAGCAAGTGGGGTTGAAGAATCCCTGGAACTAAGAGGCCGAGTTGAGGGAAAAACTGGTGCCAGGGCTTGGTCACAGGCTGATGTGGGCACAGCACTGATCTTGGATCAAGACTGATTTGTGGGTGGGTAGATGTGGGGGTGGTGGTGAGAGCTTCTTTTACAGGGGCCAAAATCACCTGGCTTAACATGTGGGAAAACTGGTGACACTGATGGTCACACAAAGGGCTGGGGAATGGAAGGGAAGGTCAACAATCAAAAAGCCCCCAAATCCACAAGTTTATTAAAAAAATTCTTATGAATTTTGGACCAGGAGATGCTCCATTTGAAAAATGGAACTATTGTATCAACCCTGGCCCCAAATCACTGCATTTAGCAAAAACTGATCAGATGTTGCAATAATTTAGGAATATGCAAATATGAACATCATTCAGCTTTCACAGATGATCTTATCATTTTACCGGCAGTGTTTTTTGAGCATTTCACTCTTCAGTCCCTCAGAACTTTATTACCTCAAAGTCCACTTCAGGATCATTGTCTGCTGCTGTTACATGCTTAGCTTCAGAAGTATGGTCATGTATGTGTGGGCCTCAGAGTAGGTCCACCTGCAGAAAGGATGTCACAAAGACAAATTAAGGTTGGTAAATTGATCAAAGGTGAACATTTTCCTTCAAATGCAAGCACTCTTCCTGAAGGATCCGTGTTCCCAGTTATCTCTCATACATTGGACAGGGGTCAAATCTGCTGTACAGATAGGATAAATATTGTATATCTAACAACACTGGTTAGGTCAGGCTTACAATTTTTTTTGGTTTGTGACTTGGGGCTGTTGAGCTGCTTGGCGCTGGCCATGCTGCAGTCAGTCCCCTTGCAAATGAGGGAACTGAGCAATTTCTCCTGAGTAATTTAAGCACTGTCCAGAGCAGGGGAAGGCACCATCTCTGTTGAGCATCTTGCCTCTCCTTGTTGAGGTGCTCCAAACATTTTTAAAACTTCCCCTGCCTGCTTTTATTTTTGCTTTGACTTGTTTCTTATAAGCCACTGGATGCCCACAATTACAGCATAAAAAAGGGGGAAAATAGGACCTGATCCAAGGTCCACTGAAGTTCATGAAAACCCTACCACAGCTTTCAGTGATTTTGAATTGGACCTTTGGAAAGAACTATGCTGCCTTATGTGCTGCAATATAGTTGCATGGGGCAATCTAAAAAAATGGCCTTTCTGGAGCCCCCCCAAAGCCAGCTCATCAGCAGTTCCACCTGATGGCTGTGTTTGCCATCCCAGGAGATGATTTGTACATACATCCAGCACAGCACAGCACAGCACAGCATGCCAGCCAACAGCTTGTGCAATCCTCTCTGACTAATTTCAAGGCTGAGTCAGGATACAGTTTATTTCTTTATTTTTGAGTAACCAGGAGATAACATGCAAAGGACAGAAGAAACCATCATAATCTGCTTCTCGGCATGCCCCATCTTACGTCAGCACCCTACAGTTGCTTTACTTTGCAGTGAACTGGAGAAATGCAAGAGGTCTGTGATGCTCATCCTTCATGATTAATATCACATCCTTCCAGCCAAAGGAAGCATTTTCTAAATTCCTAAGTGCCACGGGAAATTTCAGTGAATTCCCAAGGAAACTTCTAATCTTCTTGCCTCTTTTTGAAAGAGTCCATCCAGCATTTTCCCTGGAGCCTCATTCTCATTTTGCATTAAGGAGGCCAACATTGGCATATGCCTGTCCCTTAGTGACATGGTTAATACAGCGATGAAATCAAGATTGGCTATGTGCCTCCAGCCCAGAAAAAAACAGTTTCCTTGTGAGAAACTGAAAGCATGTGTTTTCTCTGTGGTCAACCAGCAGAATAAAGTTGCTTCTTTACTGTAACATATTCAGGGTCACTGGCTTCCTTGGAACTGCGGCTACCCTAAAATTCCCAATCCAGTGCCACCTACTGGCAGAGTCTGAAATTACAATGTGTCATTTGAGGGACCCTGAGCACTTGAGCAGTGCAGTGTCTTCTGTGAGCACAGTGTGTGTTTGATGGATTCCAGCTAGCTTGAAATGCTCAGGTAATGCTAGCTACCACAGAAGGACAGAGCTGAGCCTGGGCTGCCAAATCTACCTGAGGAGTTGGGTAAGTGCAGAGGTGGTGAGCTGCAGTTTTAGCTATGCCTTGAGTGTAGATATACTTGGTATCAGCACAAAGTCATCCTCTTCTTCCATACAATAAGTCTTCAAAAACATCATGCAAGTCCAGCAAGAAACTTACCAACAATAGCTACAAAATCTGCTACAATCCTGCTCTGAAACCCAGCACCAAGAGAATCTAAAGTCAAATCCCCACTGGCTCTAAAGCTGCTAGAATTTCACTCCTGGCTTCTGCAATGGGGGAGTGGGAGGGACCACTGAAGGGCAGCCTTAGGAAGAAGGGCATGTTCTGCAAGCTAGCACACCTGAGAGTCCATGCCAGCTTCTCATTGTTGTCTCTATTTTCTCAAAAATGCAGGATATTGGGACTGAAGACCCTCCCTGTTCACAAGAATGGAGCAGAGGGGCATAGCGGGAGATAGCAGGGGAACCTTCAGATTAATATAGGATCTGTCAGACTGCAACCCACCACCACCAGTGAACCCTGATTTTTGGGATTGATTTTGGGGGACCTTAAGCTCAGCATTGCAAAGCCTCATGCTTGAGCCTCTCTGCCTTGTGAAATTCACAACTCCAGGTTTCCTACTTAGAAAGCTCACAGATTGGAGGCAAGACGGTCTTAGTTTTTTGCCCATGTCAGACTAGTGCAGACTATGTAGGGTGTGGAGGAAGTGATTGCCTTTCCCAGTGGTGTGGCATGTGGTCCTTTTCCTAACTTCTGGGCATCTGTGAACCAACTACTTCCCTGCCACTGCAGGGGCAGGACATTGACAGTGTTCTCTTCTTCCCCCTGCTTTTATCTGTGGTACGTTAGATAGCACCCCTGGTGTTTCAGGTATTGTTCCTTGTAATTGTTTCTGAGGGTTTGGAATGGCTATTTTGGGGACCCCTTGGGTAAGTGTTTGCCTGGAAACACAGGGCACTGAACTCAGTGGTGAGGAGGCCCTTTCCACTTCTGTGTTCCTAAAATGTTCAGAAACAGGCACCTACAAAGGGAAGTCACAGTGATTTACAGGCTGAACAGGGAACCATCTGATTTAGCTCATACCAAGGAAATGGGGGTGACTTAAACCAGGCACATAGGAAAATGTTGGGCCCCTACGTCCAGGCAAGAAGGGTAAAACACTGGAACAAGTCACCCGGAGAGGCTGTGGAAGCTCCATCCTCGGAGGTTTTTAAGGCCCAGCTAGACAAAGCTTTGGCTGTGATGATCTAGTTGGGGCTGGTCCTGCTTCGAGCAGAGGGTTGGACTAGATGACCTCCTGAGGTCCCTTCCAATCCTCACTTTCTATAATTCTTAGAGACAATCCTATCTCTTTGCCTGGCACTGACACTCATGAGCCCTCCCCTGAGAATGTTCATCTGAAAGGGAGAAAGAAGAAGACACTCACTCCTTTTGAAATCCGAGAGACGAGGGACTAAGCACTTCCCTGGCATGTAGCAAAACTGGGTTTACATCCTTATTTTACCTGACTGACTTTGAAGCCCAGTCCCCCACACCTGAGGTGACCATCTCCTCTTCCTCTTGGTGGTGCTTTATGTGAGGCAAGGAGCATCCAGCAGACCCAGGCCCTATTGATGCAAAGGTAGAGAAGTGCCTCAGTTGTTCCACAGGTGTGGAGGCATCAGGTCTCTGGATGGCCAGAGCATAGCTGATGGAAATGTAGCCTCCCAAGAGGACTTTACTGGGGAACTGGCCAAGAAGACTTAGGAGCCTCCAGTGTTATGCAGAGGTTTTGTAGATCTAAATTTGGGGCTTGGAAAGAGGCAAAAGCCCCCCTTGTGAATTCTGTCTGGTGAAACTCCCACCCAACCAATGAGCCGCTGAATAAAGAGACAGCAAATTCCTTCATGACTCCTGGGACGGCCAGCTAATGCCCCCAAGCTGCACCTGTATTTACCCTCCCTTTTTATGAATCACTATGAGCATCACTGGCTATCTAGAGCAGTATTTTCAGAAGAGTTGATAACATTCTGAAGCCAGTAAAGGACCTGGACAGCAGGAAGTTTTGTTTTGGATAGACTGAGTCCTTAGCTTGAAGAGGCTGTGGGTGGGAGGAAGAGGGAAAGTTACCTCATCACAAGAGGTATTTGTGGGGTTGGGTGGGATGGGGGCAAGGTTTGAGCTGTATGTTGGGTGAAGGGGCTTTCTGAGCACAGGTAAATTGGGGGAGCTCAAGGGCATTCAAGGCAGATGCACTGAACAAGAGTGGTGAGGGCCAAAAGGGAGAAATGGGGTGACGTGGTAGAAAAGGGTATGAGGATGGGGGATGTGGAGTGTATGAATGAAGGTGGGGAAGGGGTGGGCCACACAGGCACAAGTGGGTAAGACCTTGACTGGATGGAGAGTGAGAAACAAGCCAGATCTGTGAACAGACCTAGAAGGAATCCCAAGTTTTCTCCCACTTCACTCCCCCTCCCCCCCTATAACAAGGAATCAGGAGGTTTCTCCAACCCCACCCTGCTTTGGAAAGTGCTCCTGTTTATCTCTCTGAAGAAGGGGAAGACCAGGCCCCCTTTCCTTTCTACCTCCGCATCAACAGCCCTCCTTCTCCTTCACCTAGATCCTCCTCCACAGCACCCTGCCAGTGGC